CTTTTTCCGTTTTTTGAGATAGAGTTTTACTCTTGTCACCCAGGCTGGAGTGCAATGGTGCAATCTTGGCTCACTGCAGCCTCCGCCTCCCAGGTTCAAGTGATTCTTCTGTCTCAACCTCCCACATAGCTGGGATTACAGGCACCCACCACCATGCCTGGCTAATTTTTTTTTTCTTTTTTTTTTTCAGTAGAGTCAGGGTTTCACCACATTGGCCAGATTGGTCCTGAACTCCTGACCTCAGGTAATCCACCTGCCTTGGCCTCCTAAAGTGCTGGGATTATAGGTGTGAGCCACCGGGCCCAGCCTATGTGACTTCTGATATGGAGGAATTACCTTAGAATAACCCAGGAGTCTCGCTGGTCTATCTGCAGTCTTTCACAGCATATTCATGTTTGGAAACAATCACAGGTGAGCTTTCTTGTAACAGTGAACTTGAACAATATCCTGAAGAGCATGAAAAACAGGCTAAAGCTGGGTGTGATGGCTCACGCCTATAATCCCAGCACTGTGGGAGGCCCAGGCTGGTGGATCACCTGAGGCCAAGAGTTGGAGACCAGCCTGGCCAACATGGTGAAACCCCGACTCTACCAAAAACACAAAAATTAGCTGGGTGTGGTGACACATGCCTGTAATCTCAGCTACTCCGGAGAGTGAGGCATGAGAATGGCTTGAACCTGGGAGGCAGAGGTTGCAGGAGCTGAAATTGCCCCACTGCACTCCCGCCTGGGCAACAGAGCAAGACTCTATTTCAAAAACAACAACAATAACAACCACAAAAACAGGCCGGGCGTGGTGGCTCACGCCTGTAATCCCGGCACTTTGGGAGGCTGAGGCAGATGGATCACTTCAGGTCAGGAATTCGAGACCAGCCTGGCCAGCATGATAAAATCCTGTCTCTCCTAAAAATACACACAAAAAAATTAGCCAGGCGTGGTGGGGCATGCCTATAATTCCAGGGCTAGGGAGGCTGAGGCAGGAGAAACACTTTAACCCCAGAGGCATAGGTTGCAGTGAGCCGAGATCACACCGCTGCACTCCAGCCCAGCAACAGAGGGAGACTCCATCCCAGAAAAAAAAAAAAAAAAAAAAAAACTGTTACAAAAGTTGCAATATGCCATATATTTGGAAATTTAAAACCATGCTTCTAAATGAATCATAGGTGAGAGATTAAATCGTAAAAGAAAGGACAAATATCTGGAAGCAGACGACATCAGTAATACCACATACCAGAATATGTGAGATACAGATAAAACAGTCCTTAAGTAGAAAGTCTGTAATCTTTGTTTATTCTGGAAAAAAATAAAGACTGAGTAAGCATCTAAAGAAACTTCTTAAAAGGGTAATGGAATAAATCCAAGGTAATGATAGAAGGAGAAGGAGGGGAATGGGGGCGGGAAGGAAGAAGTGAAATAAAATAGAAAATAAAAATAGAAAAGAGAGGCTCCACAAAGATAAAATCTGGTATTTAGGTTCTTAGAAAATACTAATAACAATTATTTTAAAGCAGGGCACAGTGGTTCATGCCCATAATACTAATATTTTAGGAGGCTAAGGGTTAGGCCAACCTGGGCAACACAGCGAGATGCCATATCTACATACAAAAAATAATAATATAATAAAATAAATATAAGTAATTTCTTTAAAAAACATATCCAGTCTTACTGAATGCCATAAAAAAAGAGAAAAAATGAAAAAGGAAAAAAAAAATATCCAGAAAAAAAAGAAAAAAGTATTAAAAAAACAGTATCAGGAGTAAATGGGGGAGATAAAATATATGCAGCAAAAATTAAGGTGAAAGCAGGGCGCAGTGACTCACGCCTGTTATCCCAGCACTTTGGAAGGTGGAGGTGGGTGGATCACAAGGTCAGGAGTTCAAGACCAGCCTGGCCAAGATGGTGAAACCCCATCTCTACTACAAATTCAAAAATTAGCTGGGCATGGTGGGTGTGCCTGTGATCCCAGCTACTCAGGAGGCTGAGGCAAGAGAAATGCTTGAACCCGGGAGGCAGAGGTTGCAGTGAGCTGAGATCACGCCACTGCACTCCAGCCTGGGCAACAGAGTGAGACTTCATCTCAATAAAAATAAAAATTAAGGTGAGACGATATTATGATTATGGGCAACTTTTTTTTTTTGCCAATAAATTTGAAAATTTACGATGAAATGGATATATTACTACAAAAAGATAATCCACTAGGATCGACCCAGAAGCAGACAATAAAAAATGGAATCAGTAGTTTCTAATTGCTTTACACAAACAAGTATCATAAAACATTTAAGAAACAGCGATCTTAATTTTAAATACGTTATTTCAGAAAAAAAGAGCAAACACTCCAAAACTCGTAAGTAATGCAAAGTAGATTTAACAGACAAGAAAGGAAAATTATAGAACAACTTCAATGAATACAGACCATTTCAATAAAAAATCTTAAGTAAAATATTAACAAAACAAATTCAACTGTGCATAAAAACATAATATATCACAATCTAGTTGAATTTGTTCCAGGAACACTAACTTGGCTCAATGTAAAAAAATTGATTAATATAATTGACTGCATTAATGAATTAAAGGAAGCAGAACAAATATTTAATGATATTCAATAATAAGTCAAGCTTTAAAAAAAGCTCTTGGCAACACAGGAAAAGGAAAATTGTTTAACCAATAAAGGGAATATTAAAATCATTCTTAATGGGGAACCTTTAGACGCGCTCTCTTTATAATCAGGAACAAGCTGAGCAAGTCCATAATGATGACGCAGCAGAACAGGGGGCATAACTAGCAGAGTTAAGATAAGAAAAAATAAACACAAGGCATGAAGATTGGGAAAAAAATGCAACTATCATTACTTAGCTGGTGATATGACCATCTCTACAGAAAAAACAAAACAGAAATAAAATGACAGTTTAGAGATCAAGTGCTTTCTTTTGAGACAGGGTCTGGCTCTGTCACCCAGGCTGAAATGCAGCAGTAGGACTGTGGCTCACTGCAAACTCTGCCTCCCAGGCCCAAGCAATCCTCTTACCTCAGCCTCTGGAGTAGCTGGGACCGCAGGCATGCGCCACCATACCTCACTCATTTTTCTGTATTTTTTGTAGAGATAGGGTCTCACCATGTCGCCCAAGCTGAACTTGAACTCCTGGACTCAAACCATCTGCCCACCTTGGCCTCCCAAAGTACTGGGATTATAGGCGTGAGCCAACACATCCCACTAAAAGTATACATATGTATGTTATTTATTTATTTAGAGACAGGGCCTTTAGCAGGGCATGGTAGGTGTCTGTAGTCCCAGCTATTCGGGAGGCTAAGGCAGAGGATCACTTGAGCCCTGAAGGTAGAGGTTGCTGTGAACCAAGATCGCACCACTGCACTCCAGCCTGGGTGACAGAGCAGGACTCTGTCTCAAAAATAAATAAATAAATAAAAGAATAAAAATAAACATAAAAAACAAAATAAAAATAGAGACTGTGTCTCATTATCTCTAAAATATATGCAAATATACTTTTTTAGCACATATAAATATATGAATGATACATACACTGATTTGCCCTATTCGACCTAAAATATTGTTTTAAACTTTGGGCCAATCTAACTTATTTTAATTGAATAACATTTTAAATATTTAACTTTAGCAGCAAATTAATGTATTTTGGTAAAGTAAGTAGCTCTGCTTTGAGATCAAATATAGATATTGAGAACACTTCCCCACCCAAGATGGGATCTGGCTCTCTTGCCCAGTCTGGCCTTGAACTCCTGGGCTCACGCAGTCCTCTCGCTTCAGTCTAGGGGTGTGTGCCACAGCACCTGGCAAGAATATGTATTTTAATATATTAAATAATTTGAGAGGAAGGCATAATAATACTAATGTATACCTAATCTTCAAGCTAGGAATTTGGCAGAATTGGGCAAATAATAGTTCACACTATTTCCCAGCTCAACTCATCTCTAATCTGTCAAAAGCTCAACAAATCTATGAAAACTCTGTGCTTTCACCCACATACAGCATAAGGCTGTGAATGCCCAAACAGCCACGGGAAGTCATGAATGAATCCTGCTTTGTAAAAGCCTAATTTTGTTTACACTGTATTGATGACTTTTATAAAAAGAAAATTCAGCTTCTAGGGAAAAAACACATATTGAGCCACAATGAGAAACAGCATACGCTTTATAACATTTCTAACTGGCAAGACAAGTCCATTTAGAGAAAAGCTTTTGAGAGGCCTTAAACATCCCAGCTTTCAACCACAACCTCACTATTATCAACCAGGTGGAATCAATTAGAAGACAGGCAAGCAGTGAGGCTCTTTATGGCTCTAAAGGAACTGTTATAAGCAGCCAAGCTCTTCCAGATGGCCCTGTCGTGTCTCCTCCAGCTCTCAAGAAACGGACTTTCTCTTTGAAAAGCCATTAAGAGCCACCACCTTCTGGAACGTTGCTCCCAGATTGCTCATGGTCTAAGTCTCCACTTATCACCCTGGTGACTCAACAGATAAATGCCTCAAATCCTAACACTGAAGAGTCCCCACACTTGAGCTTCTGGTCCCCACAGTGGTTGATGCAAAATGAAAATGATTCCCTGTCAAGTGCCTTTTGTGGCTACATCAGAAAAGGGAACTTGGTGACAGGCAGTCGGTGATGAACACTCATAGGGGAAGTGAAAGACACACTTGAGCTTTCTTTTTTCTTTTTTTTTTTGGAGACAGAGTTTCGCTCTTGTTACCCAGGCTGGAGTGCAGTGGCACGATCCTGGCTCACTGCAGCCTCCACCTCCCAGGTTCAAGAGATTCTCCTGTCTCCACCTCCCGAGGAGCTAGGATTACAGGTGACCGTCACCACGCCCAACTAATTTTTGTATTTTTAGTAGAGATGGGGTTTCACCATGTTGGCCAGGATAGTCTCGAACTCTTGATCTCAGGTGACCCACCTGCCTTGGCCTCCCAAAGGGCTGGGATTACAGGCGTGAGCCACAGCGCCTGGCCCACACTTGAGCCTTCACCTCACCTTTTCAACATCTGCTTTTGTGACATTGATGTCAGCATCCATTTTCTCAAAGTACTGCTGCGCCCTGTCCGCCTCTTTGCAGTCACGTTCAAATCGCCTTTTACTCTAAAATCAGAGGAAAATATTTATGAAACAACGAGTCCTATGAGAAGATGTAATTTTATCTAAATCCACCAAAGAGCATTGTTCTTTTTCTTCTTCTCTTTTTTTTTTTTTTGAGTCAGGGTCTCACTCTGTCACCCAGGCTGGAGTGCAGTGAGCGGCACCATCTTGGCTCTTGGCAGCCTTGACCTTCCAGGCTCAGGTGATCCTCCCACCTCAGTCTCACTAGTAGCTGTGACTACAGGCATGCACCACCATACCCAGCTAATGTTTGTATTTTTTGTAGAGACTAGGTTTTGTCATATTGCCCATGCTGGTCTTGAACTTTTGAGCTCAGGCAATCCTCCCACCTTGGCCTCCCAAATTGCTGGGATTACAGGCGTGAGCCAATGTGTCTGGCCCAAGAACATCCTTCTCTGAATTGATTTCTTATATGTCATGATTTCCAGAAGTTATTTTAAAATCTGCATTTATTTCCATCAAAACTATCTAGTCTTTGTTCTTTTCATGTGACTTTTAGAAAAATACTGAACTTGAGCTCTTCTGGCTCAACTTTAGATAATGGTTCTAGAAACAAATTAAACGAGAAATCTATAAAGATGTTTCATTAGTGTTTTTATGTGCATGTTTTCACTTACTGATTCATTCAAGCTTAAATTAAGTTGAAATTAGAAAATCTAGGGGCCGGGCGTGGTGGCTCAAGCCTGTAATCCCAGCATTTTGGGAGGCTGAGGAGGGTGGATGACTTGAGGGCAGGAGTTCGAGACCAGCCTGGCCAACATTGCAAAACCCAATCTCTACCAAAAATGCAAAAATTTGCCAGGCATGGTGGCATGTGCCTGTAATCTCAGCTACTTGGGAGACTGAGGCAGGAGAATCACTTGAACCCAGAAAAGCAGAGGCTTCAGTGAGCCGAGATCACGCCACTGCACTCCAGCCTGGGCAACAGAATGAGACTTCATCTCAAAAAAGAAAAAAAGAAAAAAAATCTATAAAGCCATTCCCTTTTGCCGTGCATTGTTCACTTACAGATTCGAGCTGCTTCCAGCAAGTCTCGATGTGCTGCTGTGCTTTCCGGCCATCGTGGAAGTTCTGCAAAGGGGAAAACACACTGGTGATTAGTACCCTCTGCTTCTCTTATGAACCCAGGAGAAAACGTTTTCATCCACTTAAATATTTAAATATTGAACCTCTAGGATGTATACTCCAAAGAAATGTAAGAGTTTAAAGGGGTAGCCGGGCACAGCAGCTCACATCTGTAATCCCGGCACTCTGGGAGGCTGAGGCAGGAGAATCGCCTGAGCCAAGGAGTTTGAGACAGCCTGGGCAACACGGTGAGATGTCCTCTCTCCAAAAAATAGAAAAATTAGCTGGATGTGGTGGCACAGACCTATAGTCCCAGCTACTCTGGAGGCTGAAATGGGAAGATCACCTGAGCCCAGGGAGGTTGACATTGCCACATTGAGCTATGACTGTGCCATGGCACATGGCACTCCAGCCTGGATGACACAGTGAAACCCTGCCTCAAAAAAAAAAAAAAAAAAGAAAAAGAAAAAGAAAAAGGGAATAAAAAGTTTAATGTGGAAATGAAAACAGGAATAGTCATCACAAATGAAACAAGTTTCACTTGGAGAAAAAAAAAAGGAGTCACAGAGTTCCCTTTACAGCTTTAGGTACGATTGTATAAAATTTGAAGATTGGCCAGGCATGGTAGTGCCCAAGCCTATAGTCCCAGTAACTTGGGAGGCTGAGGTGGGAGGATCACCTAAGCCTGGGAGGTGGAGGCTTACAGTGAGCCGTGATCATGCCACCACACTCCAGCCTGAGTGATAAAATGAGACCCCATCTCAAAAACATAAAATAGGCTGGGCAAGGTGGCTCACGCTTGTAATTCCAGCACTTTGGGAGGCCAAGGCAGGCAGATCCGAGGTCAGGCGTTTGAGTCCAGCCTGGCTGACACAGTGAAACCCCGTCTCTACTAGAAATACAAAAATTAGCCGGGCGTGGTGGCACACGCCTATAGTCCCAGCTACTCAGGAGTCTGAGGCAGGAGAATTGCTTGAACCCGGGAGGTGGAGGTTGCAGTGAGCCCAGATTGCACCATTGCACTCCGGCTCTGGAAGACAGAGCAAGACTCTTTCTCAGAAACAGAAAACAAAACAAAACAAATAAAATCAAATTTGAAGACATATATGCCACTTGGAAAAATGACAAGAATGCTTTATTAAGACAGCAATCGCTTCGATCATCTTTTTTAACTGCTTTGAGATGTGATTCAAATATTATGACTTACCCATTTAAACTGAGCAATTCAATGGTTTTTAACAGTCACAAAACTGTACAACATCATCATAACCAATTTTAGAATATTTTCATCACCCCTAAAAGAAACTTGTACCTCCTAGCCATTACCCTCCACCTTCTTCAGCCCGAGGCGGTCTGTTTCTGTCTCTGGATTTACTTATTCTGGATGTTTCCCATAAATGGAAATGCAGTCGGAGGCTTCTGGTGACTGGGATGTGTCCATTATCTCCTAATGCCCATGTAGCATGACTTCAGGGTCCATATTGTCACATGTATCAGTAATTCATTCTTTTTATTACCAAATGGTTATTCCATTATGTGACTATCCCACATTTTGTTTATCCATTCAACAACTGATAGACATTTGAGTTGTTTCCAGGTGTGGGTTATTATGAAAAATGCTGTGGGCACAGTGGCTCACGCCTGTAATCCCAGCACTTTGGGAAGCTGAGGCAGGTGGATCACAAGGTTAGGAGTTTGAGACCAGCCTGGCCAAAATGGTGAAAGCTTGTCTCTACTAAAAATACAAAAATTAGCCGGGTATGGTGGCGAGCACCTGTAATCCCAGCTACTCCAGAGGCTGAGGCAGGAGAACTGCTTAAAACCTGGGGGGCAGAGGTTGCGGTAAACCGAGATTATGCCACCACACTCCAGCCTGGGTGACAGAACAACACCCTGCCTCAAGGAAAAAAAAAGAAAAATGCTGCTACAAACACTTGAGTAAGAGTTTTGTGTGTTTTGTGTGCATAGCTGTTTTCAATGTTGGATTATTTTCAATCTAAAGATAAATTTCCTTCCTTGCCATCTGCAAAGGCCCTGAAGCAGGCTCTGGTGTGGTGTTAATCTGGGGACTAGATCTGGAGAAGCCTTGGGCAGAATACATCACGTGAGGTCACAGAAGAAAGAGGGAGGTACACAGGGTCTTGCAGGCTTTTTTGTCTGAATGAACCAGTTGATGAGTATCTCTAAGAACAGATGTTGTGAAGGGAAGATTTCAGGTGGTAGGAGGCTGTTGTCACAATCCTGGAGTGACTGCCATGTGGACAGGTCATATGTAACGAGCAATGCAGGTCGTGAGAGGGGTCAGGTTCTGGGCGCCCTTTGATCACCCAAACCTCCAGGATTTTCTGGGAGATGGGATCAGATGTGCAACAATGAGCAGCCCAGAGTGACTCCGAAGTTGTCAGTCTGAGCTTTAGGAGAGGGAAGACAGAGAGAAGTGGGTCTGAGGAAGGAAGATCATACACGTAGTTTCAGATGTGTTAAGGCTGATATTTCTTTGAGACTCCCATGTAGAGAGACTAGCTAGATGTGGTGGCTCATTCCTGTAATCCCAGCACTTTGGGAGGCTGAGGTGTGCAGACCACCAAAGGTCAGGAGTTTGAGACAAGCCTGGCCAACATGGCAAAACCCCATCTCTATTAAAAAAACAAAAATTAGCCAGGCATGGTGATGCATCTCTGTAATCCCAGCTACTGGGGAGCCTGAGGCAGGAGAATCACTTGAACCGGGAGCCAGAGGTTATGATGAGCCAAGATGGTGCCACTGCACTCCAGCCTGGGTGACAGATATTCCATCTCAAAAAAAAAAAAAAAGGCTGGGCACAAGCACGGTGGCTCACACCTATAATCTCAGCACCTTAGGAGGCTAAGGCAGGTGAATCATGAGGTCAGGAGTTTGAGACCAGCCTGACCAAAATGTTGAAACACCATCTCTACGAAAAATACAAAAATTAGCTGGGCATGGTGGGGCGTGCCTGTAATCCCAGCTACTCAGGAGGCTGAGGCAGGAGAATCACTTGAACCTGGGAGGCAGAGGTTGTAGTGAGCTGAGATCACACCAGTGCATTCCAGCCTGGGTTACAGAGGGAGATTGTCTCAAAAAAAAACAACAAAAAAAAATGAGAAAACAAAAAAAAAGAGAGAGAGAGATCAATATATACTTGGACTCCCGGGTCTGAGCTCAGGGAGTGGTCTACGCTAAACACCAGTTTGGGAGTTTTCAGTATAAAGTGGGTAGTTAAAGCCAAGAGACCAAAGAAAACAAAGATCTCAAGGAAGGAAATGCTAGAAATATGCAGAAATGTTAAGAGAATGGTGTTCTTTTTTGTTCAGTGACCTAAAATCACCAGTTCCCTAGATCCTTTATTTATTTATTTATTTTGAGACGGAGTTTCGCTCTTGTTACCCAGGCTGGAGTGCAATGGCGTGATCTTGGCTCACCGCAACCTCCGCCTCCTGGGTTCAGGCAATTCTCCTGCCTCAGCCTCCTGAGTAGCTGGGATTACAGGCACGCGCCACCATGCCCAGCTAATTTTTTTGTATTTTTAGTAGAGACGGGGTTTCACCATGTTGGCTAGGCTGATCTCGAACTCCTGGTCCCAAATGATCCGCCCGCCTCGTACACCAAAAGTGCTGGGATTACAGGCGTGAGCCACCACACCCAGCCCCTAAATCCTTTAATATCCTTTCACTGTACCATCGCTGACTTGGTCAATGTCCTGTAAATTTCCCAAGTGCATTTTCCACCCTGTTCTGCATCCCCAGAGGCTCACATGCAGGGATCTCATGAACCCTTGCCTTGTGGTTCTGATGAGATTTACAAGGAGATTCTGGGTGACCAGAGGGCAGCAAATTGTACCTGCAGCTTCTCCTTGCTGAGATGATACAGGTTGGCTGGGTCGTTGAACCAAAGGGCATAGCTTTAGTCAGGTGGTGACCTGCATGCAGCTAACCTTTGAAGTTCCTCATCTATGAAATTCCTGGAAGGCTTCCCCAGCCCTGTGAGGCCTGGGGGTCACAGCAGGTCCCTACTCTGACTGCCTCCAGGGTACTGCACTATTCTTACTGCTGTTCCCAAACCCTATCCACTACATTGTAAATGTTCCTTTTAATAACCAACCTTCCATCACTTACTGGGTTTGAATGTGCTGTCTGTTTTCTGGCTCACAAGGTAAGCATTGGTGTTAGGGGCACAGTATGGAGAAGGTCAGGTGAAGGAAGGATAGAAACAAAGAGGTCCCCTAGGTACAACCTGAGCTTTTCCCATACCTCGTCAGAACCTAGGACTTAGCAGAGTCAGAAAAGATAGCTGACAACTAAAAAGGTTGGGAAGGCAGAGACACAGAGACAACATCAGATTTAGAACAGTCCTCCTTTATAAGGGAATGTTTTCTTGTCTCTCTTTTGAGGTCGAGTTTCACTGTTTTAAGCGCCTCTTTGCAGTCAGTTTTATCTTCCAGCAATTTTTTGGTCTCTGCAAACCCAGGGGTAGCCCCCTGGAGCTTTGTATTTCAACTCTTGTAATGGACACAGGGATAGAACAGAAAAGAAGGGATCCAGGCTGCAGAAGAATTAAGAAGTAGAGCTGAGGGCAGGGTTAGGGAAACTCTAGACCTTGGAAGAGAACACACAGAAAATGCAAGCGTTTGAACGTCACACTTTCAGGGAGGACTCCCAGGAGATGACAGTGTCTATTTCAAACCACCTGGGCTCAAATGTGCCCTTTCCGGAAAGCACCTCTGGTCCTGAAAGTCTTTACTGGGTTACTCCTCTGCCAAGAGAAGGATCCACATTTCCCAAGTGAGAGCACCGAATTATGCAGTTTGCTGAAGAGATACAGCCGCTCCCAAAGGTTTGAGATTCAAAGACAGGCAGAAAAAGAAAGCGAAAACCCCAGCATCAATCCAGAGCCCTACTCTAAGTTTACATTCTCTCTCTTCAGCAACCCTGAAAGTGAATGTTTTAACAAAGTGAAAGCTCCCTCCAGCTTGGGGCAATGCCGTGGGT